ATATATATTTAAAACTTGTATGTCACACACACACTCATGCCTATAGAGTATGCCAGTACACTCCTAATGAGTCATATACAGGTTTGAATATTGACTGACAGCTTGTCAATGAACACGAGCAGTGGTAGACATTTATATATACTTTCGGTACATGGTTGAATTGTGTGACAGGCGTCAAATAAACTGGAAGTCATAGCTCCTAATTCGGGATATAAGAAAGCAATCGGATTGTTTCCCAAGCGCAACCCGTCACTCTCCATCAGCGTACAGACGGCTAGTAATTCAGCACTGAATCACTTCCACGGTGTGTATTGTTCTTAGCACTCTCAGGATCTATCAATAGAGTTTATACGCACGATTTAATTAGCGACTGATCACATAAAACTATCTTCCCCTTAAATATTGTGCTTGGAAGGTGGTGTTTTTTTCTCGGGCTTTACAGTATGCAGTCAGCGAATGCGTCGGAGTATCGATGCAAGACGTTTGAGTTTCCTTGCATTTGTGCTTGCCATCGGTTTTAGAGTGTACCATTTTTGTAATCGCGTCGACCACATATTACCAACGATATTGTCATACTCCACATGGGAATGGTGTACTCGTGCTTGAGACAAATATGGATGTGATACGTCCTGGATCGGTCTGTGTAGTTTTAGCTGCGTTAAATATGAACTTGATAGTACGATGTACATATATTGTTTGTTGATCAAATGAGCCATGGGCTACTTTTTCGAGTCAAGATGATGGTAGATGTCGTAGACATGAAATGCTTTCCTAGGTAGGAAGAATATGCTTATTTTCTTTGGCTACACTTTTCTACATGTTACCTGTATGTCAAGGGTCATGTAGTGACCTTTTATATATTTTATGTACTATTTTTTTTTCTTCATATATATAAATCATCCAGGGGAAACGGCACCAGTAAGCGACGAAAGCGATCAAGAAATAGATTCTTTTCAGATGAAAGATCTTGTCGAATTCAGACAGAATTTGACCCGAGCTCAGGCTAAGGGCATTCTATCCTGGTGAGTATTGTCTTGCCCTTGAATTCTATCTTGTCTCACCCATGCTGTTTAACTTCGCAGTAGCGCCGCGGTTCATTGGCAGGCTTTTGATCTATATCTGATTCTAGTATATTCAGGCATGGGTCTGATTTCCCTTGACCTTACCCCTTTTGATATTTAAGGCCTTACCCCTTTCGATATCCAGGATGAGATTACAGAAAGTAGACCGAAGGAGGATATTGGAGTCAATGATACGGTTGCAAGCAATCGAATCGACCATGAGAGTAGAAATGAAGATGAAGTCAGACGAGACCATGGTATGCACACGTACTGAACAACTGGATCGATTGTATATACATCGACTTTTATTTCGTAGATCCTATTTAATATAGATATGGATGATTTTAGTCTGACTATGTACGTTATTACTCTCTGGAGAAATTTTGAGAATCATGGTCTCGAAAATTTGCTGTACTCAATTAGGCAACGATTGGTGATCAATCGTTGCTTTCCCAATGAATGTTATAGCGCATTAAAAAACGATAAATACCGGGTTGGCATGCTTGTAGTTTTATACTTATGGAGCTATACGCCACATCACACAGGTGAATAGGATGCGGATATGCGGTGAATATATAAAACTGCATGAGGACGCATTAAGTAAGGTGAGTACGTCGAGATTAAAGGAAGAAATGCTTGAAGGTACATTCGTGGTAATTGGGATATCTGATAAATATGGCCATACTCAATGAACATTTACGGTTATAAATTGTGGTGTATAATTGTGCAGAATCGTCTTTGGCTTTGGTGTGTCTGGATGCGTCACATGTCTGCTGTATTTCACAATTCCTTATTGGTACAGATTCTTTGTGCCTAAGGTATTGTTGTGCCAATTAGTAGCCGAGTTCTCGTCAGCAGCGGGCTATGAAGGCTCATCACAGCGGTGACGATCCATAGTTTCCACCGAAGAATCGTTGTGGGTGTCGCGTGCGAAGCTTCATCATTCGCTGTATCTCATGCATCGAGATCGCTTATCATTCTTCTCATCTATTTGCGCACCACAGTTGAACAAGACAACCCATAAACGCCAGCGCAAGAGGAAGGATGCAGAAATCGTTGTTGATAGAAAGAAATCTAACGTTTCGGTACCCGCACTACCCGGCACGTACAGCGATAGAGTGGTAGATATCACTATGACAGCCACACCCAGTAAGTTGGATTTGATGGAAAATAAGTCTGAAAAGAAGCGTGATAGAAGACACGTTCCGCGAACGCGTCTGAGACATGTCCTACCGCTGCCGTCGCTAGATAAGTGGGCCGATTTTCTCCAATAGCATTACTTGGTTATGAAGTAGTAATCAACGGCACAGTAAAAAATATGGTGCATAGGGTTCATCTACAAACAGGCTTACAAGCTTATCTCAACTTAAGCAAGCAAATAACTTTACACATGCACGCGCATATGGGAATACACCAAGCGAGGTGCATCGTCACCGCATCGGGAAACTATAAGTTTTAGTCTTTGCGTGACCTAAAGGAGTGGAGGTCGGAGGCCATTGTGCAATTATTGAACACAATCAGAAGAAGATCGAATGAACCTTAACTAAATGCACTAGCACTTACAGGTAACTGGTGTGCTTCATGGGCAAAACTATACCAAGCCCAACTCGCATCACCTGTTGTGAGCAAAGGCCGTGCCAAATGATGACAAGACAAAGCACCTGTGTGCAGCCAATTTCCACGATTGTTTGGGGTCACTTTCAATCGAAATTTCGCTAGTCAAAGGACCAATCAGCCACCAGCTGATACGTGCAACGATCCCTTTTTATATGTGACAGTATCTAATCAGACTTCACATACGCCGGTTGTTTATCTGCCTTTGATATTTATCAATCACGAGGACCTTCGTAGAGCCAACCAAGGGCAGACAAAGCCTCGGCAATCGATTTTAGCATACAGTGAAGAAGATTCCATGATCTTGTATCAAAAGAGTAGCCGACAATAAATATATCATTTATTAGTGGTGTTCTTCTATTGAAGCTTCCGAATAGCTCTGTTGGTCGTCTCGAAAACACATAAGAGGCAGTCGATTGTGTTCGACATTTTACTGACAACCTTTTTTCTAGCGACTTTAAAGAATTCCATCACACGAATATACTATTAGAGTGATACAAAAACTAAAACTAAACAATAAAAGAAACAGACTCTTGCCACTCCACGCAGCGCGATCGTACTTATACTCAATTAATCGCTTCTTCATGAACAACACGGAAAAATAAAATGCTGAGTCGTAGTTGGAAGTTTGACTAGGCAGAGATTGTATGCGTGAAACGCATTCTGTTTATTTAGGTGAAATTTTCATCAGTAATTATATTTATATCAAACGATCATGTATGTCTTGTCATTAGGTACGGGCGTGATCGATGTACAGCTTGATATTCGAAATTAGTTACGACAATATTTGTAAAAATTATCTGATTGTACTTTATTGGATATATTGCTACCACGGTGTACTAGCCGTATCATACGTTAGGAGGGTCAGTCTCCCTTTCAGACCGTCACATACGCGCTACTAAATTTCTACTAAATTTGATTTGTTTACTAATTATTATATTAAAGTGCACGGCTCGGCCTGAAAAAGGAGCTAAATTCCGTTGTATGATGAACCACTTCGGTTAGATTCGATACGGGCACGTCCAGCGCGCCATACTTATTTTTCTTTTCTCCATTCATTGAGATGGGCATCGTATCCTTAGGCTGTTCTGCACTACTTCGATAGTATGTGTAATAATAATGCTGAATGATCAAAACCAGATCAAAACCAATAGATACCATGGCGAGCCCAGTCTTGGTAGGATTGCCCGTCAAACCGCTCCAGTCGTTTGTGTTGGACGCTTGCAAAAACATCTGCAACACAGAGGCGACGCCACCAAAGATGTCAAACAATTGCGTACCCACAGAGAACCCAGCCGTTGATTTTCGCTGGAAGTTGAACATCACCTGTGGTATATACTTCACCACTGTGAGCATCAACTTCAAAGAAGAGAACGCTTGCAAATACGACAGGATTGCCATGAGATCCATTTTCACGGCAATGAGCAGTACCACTGCACTCGCCCACATGCATCCATTGATAACCTTTGCACTATGACTGAGCGTCTGATCGGGTGTGCGATAGTGGTGGACCTGTAGCAACACAATTCCCGTCATAATGGATGCATGTACCGCAAAAGCAACATCGGATACTGTCACTGGCAAAGTACTCGTCTGATGGATAGTGAAGTACTGCTGTTGCACTGTTTCAGAATAGTACATACCCACATTGAACAAAGCATAAGACAGAAATCCAGTCAGATTGTAAACAACACCATCGATGTTGAGTCCCGTCACGGACTGGCGCTTCATGTTCTCCAGCACCTGAGGGTAGAAGCTGAGACTCCACAGAACGAAACACAACCAGCCCAACATTGAAATGTATTGCACCATCTGCAATGAGTTTACGACCATAACCTTCGACATGGTTTCGTTCGTTTGAGACATGTTGCCACTCTCAGAACTGTCCAGCGTGACCATGGTCACTGTTGCTTGAGTTGGCCTGTCTTCGTAAATCTGTGTGCCATTGTTTCTATCAACGCCGTCACTGAGCGCTTGTAACCTTTCCGGGATGGACTCTGTGCTATTATTAGTGAGCGGGTAGGTGTTCTGCCCATTTGTACTCTCTAACGAAGGCTGTGTTGATATATCGCCGTTGGTTTCCCTCGGATGAGCCAGCCAAGGCAAACTAGCCACAAATAATAATTTTGTGATGTGCATGTTTGCTGGGCTAATGAAGTGTCAAAATAAATACTGAACACTTTGCGTTACATAATGATAACCTATATACTAAAAAATCAAAAAAAATCATTACACATTCCTCTCAGAGGACTCGGACATTCAGTGAGTATGTTCCGAGTAATATTATGAAATAAGGCCCTACATAGCCGCCCTCAGGTCCACTCAAACCGTCTCAGTTTGCCTCAGGCCTCATCAGGCCTCTGAGGCCAGTACATAGTACTGTATGTACCCCCGGGCCCCCAGTGAACTCACAGTAAAAGTACAATCTATCATTTTTAAAGTCCACTTGGAGTTGGAAGTATTTGAAATTTTAGAAAGTGAAATGCCAAAGATATAGTGATATACACACGTTCAATTAGCCACTGAGATACAAATTTTCAGTACAGGTAATATTAAATTGATACCATTGGTCAATCATCTATAAATGAGAATTGTATCTGCTCACAGTGCTCAGTGCTCACAACTTCACATTTCACAATTATTCTAATTTAAAATAAAACATTCACAGTATTTTGAACCAACCATACTCCTTAAATCTTCGGGTTTTAGAAAAACATTTTATCCCAGAGAAAAAATTACTCCGAGAGTCTGAGGACCGAGCTTCGAACTGAAAATTTACTTCTTATATTTTTTGGTGACACACTGTTAAAAAAATACACACGACTGCACTCGGGCCTCGGGCCTCGGGCCTCGGGCCTCGGTCTCAAGGGCCTGTGATTGACTACATATTATGAAATATGTGAATGGACCTCTATATAGTTCTATTTCTAGAAAAAGTGAAATTTGAGCGTCACTTTAACGCCACTAAAAAAATCACTTTTTACTTCTCTCGCAGACCAAAGCCGTCTATTATAATTATATCTACACATAAGAAGAGAAGAGGGCTACGCTTGTTCGCCATGGGTTTGTCATAAGGTTTTTAGGCATAAGAAAACATAGCCTTCTAATTATAAATTAGACAAAGAAAAGTCCACTCCTGAAGAGGGAAAGAGAGAGAGAGAGAGAACGAGAGAGCGAGAGAGAACGAGAGAGCGAGAGAGAACGAGAGAGCGAGAGAGAACGTGAGAGCGAGAGAGAACGTGAGAGCGAGAGAGAACGTGAGAGAGAGAGAGAACGTGAGAGCTGCAAACTGCAAACTGCAAACTGCAAACTGCAAACTGCAAACTGCAAACTGCAAACTGCGAATTCCATCGTCATAATAATGCTCATATTTATTTTAGTCATAGATCTGCATCAATATCCCTCTAAATTATACAAGTGGTCTATGATCAGATTGTATGTATACACTCAAAAGAATATATCGCATTTTATCCAGTATCACTTTACACGGGTACTTGCTATCAAGTATCCGAGAGTGACTAAGTGTAGGACAGTTAGTACATTATATTCTACAAGTTTGAGATATACCCAATTAAACTATTTGCGACGTCGAACTCAAGTTCAATATATCTGGGGAGTGCAAGGTGTGCGTAGAATTTGAACTGCACTTGTAGTTTTATTTTACTTTTATGGTCGAAAGAACACGATACCCTAAGGATCTTGACAGATGCTGTCGCTAGACAGTATATCACGATACTAGTGGCAACGAACCTAGATTCATGTATGGCATACATTTATGCGTGTCCTTATGAAATGACGTGAGGAACCAATGAATGTTCGGTTTACACTCTTTCTGTCTCCCCCCCCTCCCTTGCATTTGGTACCCTCCCCATGTTACTATTCTACAACAAACATAGTCTATGTGGGTGTTGAAATATATATATACATATATATAGGTATATTTATATGTAAATGGATATATGTTTGTATATGTACAACGCATAATATATATACATATATATATATATATATATATATATATATATATATATATATATATATATATATATATATATATATATATATATATATATATATATATATATATATATATATATATATATATCTCTCTCTCTCTCTATATGTATTAGAGATATATATATATATATATATATATATATATATATATATTACACACAGATATGTACACACACACACGCACACACACACACACACACACACACATATATATATATATATA